CTCTAGTGACCTCGCAACTAGGAACTGCATCGTCAACTCAGACTTATCTGTAAAAATAGGCGACTATGGAATATCACGTGATCTTTATAAGGTTTGTCACGTGATTAAACAATGTAACGTCTTGTCTGTGATTTTATAACGTGATGTTCTTTCSGCGGTTTCTTTAGCGTGACTACTACGAGGATCCTARATCAAGTAGCAATGAGTCGCTTCCTATTCGATGGMTTGACCCGGAGAGTGTTTGCATGGACAAGGACAGCGGTCTTTCTGTGAAGTCGATGGAAGAGAAAGAGAACGTGTGGTAAATTGATAAATGTTTGTTAGTTTTTATCTGCAGTGGGCAATTAGAATCATTGAATCAATCATTCACTCAAATATTGAAATAGTCAGACTTTAGTCAATCTCTCAGTCGCGCGACATTCATTTACTCAGGCCCGGTTCATACGTCGTCATGCTATCGTCGCGCCGCACCAAATAGTCAGTTGGTGTCGACCAAATTCATTTGATACGGCGTTCATTCATACATCGAAACAAATGCAGTCAAAAACGTAAGAAAAGGCCCAATAACACGCAATTGACATCTATTATTATTGTCGAAAATACATATTTTTGTGCGTTAAGTTCGGCACGACGAAAGCTCGACGTTTGAATCAGCGTCGAGCTTTTGTCTTGCAACACGACTGGCGCTGCCGTGCCACTACCGTGCTACGGTCGCACAAAACTTAATTTATTCATACATCGAGCTCTTCATGTGCTAAATTCAAACTATTTGGTTCTGCGCGACGCTGGCTAGACGTATGAGCCGGGTCTCTCTCACTTAATCAATCCATCAGCCAATCAATCAATCAATTATTCAAATAGTCAGTAATCAATAAATGAGTCACTCTGACAGTAAGTTATTCAATGTCTTCCGTTCACAGGTCCTTTGGTGTGACCCTTTGGGAGATAGTCGAATATGGCCGACAGCCCTATGCCGAACTCACTGACGAAGAGGTTTTGCAGACCGTTATTGTAGATCGTTTATATCAGCTTCCTGAGCCTCGAGACACTGGAATCCTTGCTAGTCAACTGTAAGTGCGTAGCTTTTACGCCGTGAAGGAGCGTCCCGTACCTTGATCCCTCTTGCGGCCTTTTTATGAACTCCCGTTAACGTTAAGAAATGCTAATGAAGTTTTTTGCCTTGCAGTTACGACATGATGAAGTGGTGCTGGATAGAGTCTTCAAGACGTCCAAGCATAAAAGAAATGGTTGAATTCTTAAAAGGACTTTCGGAAAACCTCTCGGACTTRMTCTCTGAAGGTGAAGAACAGCAACCCTCAACATCTACACAYGAATATCGACAACCAGTCGCAGTAGTTCGGCCTCTTCAACACAGTGAAASTATAACTAAAGAACCTGGACAAACAGAAGATGATAGGCACAAGACATTAGGCTTRCCATCTGAAAGTGAAATTTCTTTACCTGAACTGTCTCAACACARTGTTAGCGAAACTAATGACATCSAAATTACGGCTWTTTGTGACGAGCTAGAASACGTCCCAGTTACTGTCATCAATTCAGARTCYTCTCAAGAAAACGAATTGAGAAGGAAAGACATTTTAAACGAAGACCCGAACGTAGGGTTGACAACTCCTGTTACACACATTGGCGGTCCATCYGATGGGRTCACTGAATACCAACGAACATTAGCACAGGGTATCAAAGATGAAATAACTCCTTCTTGTTCAGAAAGTCGAATTATAGAGGTTAAATATTCGGGTGGAGAGCCTAGTGTTATTATTGAAGATTGTCCTAGTGGTTATGTGGTTCTTCCTGGTGAAACGTTAAGAAGAAAAAGTTCATTAAGACAGGCAAATGCAAAGGTAATCACAGCAATACGTCAAAGTGCAATCCTTGCTCAGGAGGGGGAAGGGSGTTAGGGGAGGAAGGAGGGAAGAGGGGGGAAACCACAGTGTCATCCAGTGCYATCACACCCTTCATTGTAAACCCGTGCGAAACGAAAGAGATTACCGCTTTAAACTATCAATTGATACTGTTAGGTACTAGTAAAATAGTGAAATAACATTTGTTTTTAATCAATTTCTTTTCAGTCGAAGGGCAATACAGTTCACTTTCCTGCCAATATCCTAGACTTAAGAGTCGTTCATCGTTATTACCGAGAAGAGGAAGAAAACGAAGACGACGACGAAGATGGTGGAGAACCCGAGCCCGAGMAAACTAGTTCTCCATCAWCAAGCAATTTCACCTTTGAGTTTAAGGGAGARAGAATATCTTTGCAGGATGAAGGATCGCAGGTAGATGATGATACCGAGATGGGAAGTGCTTTGATMCTAGATCGACCAACATCGCCTGTTGAAAAACGAGTACGGAAAGCCACGCGAAGGAAGCCACTTAATAGAAATGCTGATGAATGGTTGTTTAGCATAGACCAAGARCAYTGAAAATCATCTACCTTTGCGTGCTTAATACGCGGCGATTTTTCCGTAATTTCRCAACAAGCTAGCGCAAAAATTTCCTTTCCGCACACATACATATGCTTTTAGAATATTTCAGTGTAGTGTTTATTAAGGTAGGAGCATTTCAAAGATATTTTGAGTTATGGCTTAAAAATCGTGAAAATTATAGTTAAAAGAAGTGTTTAAAACAGGCTTTTACAATATATGCAAAAAGATGTTATGGAAWTGACTCCCTAATAACAGAGGCTTCGTCAAAGAAACCTTAAAATTGCAWAACATATATGAATGCATATAGAGATATAAATTTTTTATATAGATTTTATATTGGATTTATTGAAATATAAGAGTATACCAAGATTTTATTATGAAAATATATATGAAATAGAAAAAAAGAAAATAGAAAAAATATTATAGACATACAATTTACAAATGTTAGTGTGATGATCTGATGGTTGAGCACAGGCAGCTTAACCATTATAATTCAATATAGTGTGATTTTATTCTTTTTACACTGTGAAAATGTTTGATCCATATTTAAGAATTTATGAGTTTGAATTTTACARTTTTAATAAGAAATTCTTATAAGTCATTAAAAAAACATTCATCCAAAAAAAAGTTATATATACTACATGCAAACATACTTTCTACTTATATGAACACATGCAAAAAAAGATTGCTAATAAAAAATCATTTTAAAGCGTTTTTATACTTGATTACTATTATTATTTCACATTATATGTGCTGAATGTGTATTATAAGCTCCAATGGTTGAGCTATTTTGGTGTCGTAAATGCAGGTGATGATTGTGATGATAATATTAATGATGATGATGATAGTAATAAGGGGTCTCACATATCAGATCTAATTAGAAAAGAATCTCACGACTTCCTGAGAATAATAAAAATCCCACAAAAACCTATTTCAATATTTTTTATTTCCCCAATAGTCTCCTTCACGGTTACCTGCGCCATCTTGAAAGGTAGCCGTGCCTTTGCATCGAAGCGAGACGACTGTTGAGCGTGCAATGATAGAAACCTTCTTTCACACCTACAGACAATTATTCACAGGTATCTATCATTGCACGCTCAACGGTTGTCTTGCTTTGATGCAAAGGCACGGCTACCTTTCAACATGGCGCAGGGAACCGTGAGGGAGACTTTTTCCCATGTCTTAACCAATTTTACAATTCTACAAATTTAAAAAGCTAGATAGACTAGCATTATTCATAAGGAAATGCCCTTCTCAACTGCTCCAAGATCATCCATGTTAATATTGTRTAAGGTGCTATTCTTATCCACGATGGTACAAATCCCTGAAAGAACAATTAAACTTCTTTTAATTACTAATAATTATTATCAATCTATTAAACCATTATTAGTTGATATCCACATGAAGAGTAACATATGTCAATGCCATGGGTGTGGCCAAGATTTTTGGCAGCGAGGTTTGAAGGTGCTGGATTAAAGGTACGAACAGATCAAAAACACAAAAATGGTCGGTGATTACCTTATAAAACCCCATGGGTCCCAATTTAGCTGTATATACAAAGCACTGGAAGGCATTCTGAAAGAAATARAAACAGTACATGTATTAGTTTCCTCACTTACTGTTTTTTTGMRGTGGGCTCCCTKTCCCCAACAAACACTGTCTGCAATGAGACTAAGACTACACATGTATAATTCACATGTATACATGTTTCATTATATTAATAATTGAGATCCTTCAATGYTTTCCTTACCTTGTATTGACCTGGTCTTGCCTCCATTAGCCTTGTCTTCATGACATCAAAKGGYTGGGTAACACCTGTTGCTATGGTACCCTGCATTCAAGGTGAGTATGTTAACCAAATATAATTGACAGCTGTCAATCAAATATGAGTTGTCTGTAAAAGCTGTATGCATTTGTATTATATGTATATGTAATAGTCTTCACCATCTTGACAGGTAGACATGCCTTAACATCGAAGGGAGATGACCGTTGAGTGTGCAATGATAAATGCCTGTGAATAATTGTCTGTAGGAATGAAAGAAGGTTTCTATCATTGCACGCTAACCGTTGTCTCGGTGCGATGCAAAGGCATGACTAGCTTTCAAGATGGCGCAGGGAACCATGAAGGAGACTCTATAATATTTAGACTATATTTATATGGTAAGCATACTCACTGCTATAAAGCTTGATGTGAAGTGAGTAATCATGTTATCCTGGAAAAACCTGTTGACAAGAAACAAGCTGACTATTGGTATGTGAAAATAATGGGAAATGGATGAAAAAATGGAAGGGAGTAAAAGGTGAATGGATGAATAAGTCACCAAAATTGTTTAAACAAATTGTCACTGCTCAGCCATACTCTAACTTGTAATTTATTGTATTATGTGTCTGTACTAGGTATTTTTCAGTGAAAGTTACTTAAGGTAATTATCACAAGACGAGTTGGGTGAGAAAATAGTGTGAAGTGACTCACCCTGTATATAACAATGTCTGCTTTACTTGGTCATAACATGCAACCTGAAGTCAATGACAGCTTGATTAGACTATCGTRTAGAAAGATAAATTTAACACTTAAAAATAGGTGAAACAACTKACTGACGTTTTGGACATTAATCCTTCATTAGAGTAAAGAGATTCTATATTGCACTATAAGAGATTAAGTCAATACCTGAGCAAATGTGATAAGTAATGCTCTAGTGGATGTCATAGATACTCCTTTCCACCACACCAACACTCCCTCTGTAACATAAAGAATATAGCTATTTACTGTYGAATCCTTGGGAATAAAATACAACATATTTTAATAAAACTGAAGGAGCTAGAATTACCTTGAGTACCAGATTTGTATAGTCCGTGAAAGACATGTTTATAGCTGCAAATGTCCACAAATGATATTTCCTTAGTATAACTTTTATAGATGTTAAGAAAAAAGAGCAATAGTAAGCTTTTCTTTTACTTACTTTCTTCTTTGTTCAACTGGAAGTTTAATGTCATTCTGCATTCTTCAAACATCAAACAAAAAAGTTTAAAATCAGTGTAAGTAAAACCATGAATTCAAACTTGATTAAGTCATTGATACAAATGTCAGTAATACTAATATATATATATAATAATTTTTGTTTTTAATAAACCAAATTTTTTGTTTGTGAAATTCAATACAATTACTTTATCTTTCATTTTCCTCTCAATGGCAAATGCAAGATTAATTGCTTGTAATATTCAGGGGTAAAAAAACGAGTCAGCTGAAAACAAGATTCATACCGAACATTTATAACATCAGCTGGATTTCCTACAAAAGCACCAAGGAATCCTGAAAAACACAATCATTGAAATATTCAAATAACTTTGCCAGACATAATTTTGCAGTGATTATGGAAAAGAAATACCTCAGAGCTGACTTCAATTAATGTAGGCTAATAAATAATAAGTCTTTTATAATTAGAGGTATGTTACATAACTGATACTCAATGATGTATGTTTTTTACTGTAAAAAAGAATGTGCAAAAAAACCCTGCTGTCTAACCTGCTGATCCTCCTACAATGGCTTTCTGATAGAAGGGAAGGGGTTCTGCAAAGAAATCATATCAAATCAAAYTTATAATTATAATATGATATTCTTRAGAATTTACTAATTTAAGTTATTTTAAAATGTTAAGCTTACCATCTCCTTTTCTTAACATTCTTGACCATATTTCATATAAACCATATCTTGTTGTTGAGTATGTCAACTGCAAGTAGTAATTATGATARAAAATATTCTTGATAGAGTGCTTGCACTAAATGCGTGAAATATAAATAGAGTGCTCGCACTTAAACCGTGAAACAAATAGTACTAATTACTACTAAATAGTGTTGATTATACAATAGGAAACAAAGGAATTTGTATAATTTATCACCTATTTTGTAGTATTTATATTTCACGCATTTAGTGCGAGCACTCTACTAAAAAATAGGTGATAAATTATACAAATTCCTTTGTTTCCTATTGTATAATCAACACTATTTAGTAGTAATTTAGTACTATTTGTTTCACGCTTTAAGTGCGAGCACTCTACTATGAGGGCTAGTCTCTCCAAAGAARTAAGTGTTCATTACATTAAATTGACCATGTTACCTGTCTCATCATTGAAGCTGTCAGTCCAGCATACAAGCCTGTTATTCCTTGTACTTTGACAACATGGACACCCATTGCAATGAGACCTTTTGTWACATTTTGTTGAGTTTGCAGGTGAACCTTAAAATATATGAATATTTATAATTAAAAAGTAAAGAAAAAAATCATAAAAGGTGATATAATCAAAATATTTCTTTTTATTTTAAAGATGAAATATTCACAGTTTATACTATTTAGCTTTCATTTATTCAGGTTTTGGAAGTTTATGTGAAGTATTGACTAAGACAAATGCATATTCAAGATATGTACAAAAGAACCCTGCAGTGCTTTCAAACAAAAGGAGAGAAGTGAATTTTGCACAGTCATCTTCAACAGGTCAAGAGGATGCGGTGTTTACTATGAATGTAGACACATAATATCATTATTGTCTTGTACAATAATTAATTTACAAAGGATTTTTCAAAACAAAATATGAAACATTTCTTCTTTATACTGTTTTGGAAAAAGCATACAAAGGCAGATAGTAAAGGAAGCAAAGTTTTAAGTATATTGGCTKAGTGRCAAAAACCCCTGCAGCAATTTCAAACAAAAGYGRGAGGCATGGAAATTCTGCACAGTCATCTCCAAAAGGTCAAGGGTGCAAGTTCTATGAATTAATAGGAGTACAAAAAAACATAAACGAAAAATAAATAAGAAAATCAAAAATGACTTGAGCTTACTTTACATCTTTAAAGAACGAAAGAAAATAAAGAAAAAATATTCATTTTATTTTGGGAAAGCACAGGAAGCCCAAGACTAAATTATGAGCGACGTGGCTGTCTACAAAACGTAAAGCAATCGTAATGTGTTTCTTGGCAAAATTGAATAACTGAGTAACTAAAAATTTATATCTATTCTCTTATAGCAAATAGATAGCAAATATTTTGGTTGGTTAAWTTCAAAACCATTGAATCGATTGAGAATTACAGTAGCTAATATTTCAGGACGGCCCTCACTACGGCCTTACCTTCAAAAGATCTAGAGGATGTGTGCAAGCTGCAGCCATGGCCGAAGCTATTCCTCCAAGGTACCATCTTTGCTTCTTGATGACCACTTTCACATCCTTTTTGCTAGCTCCAGACATGATCTGATCAACAGCCTTTGGAAACCAAGACAGTTGTTGTCTTTTCTTGGCTTGAAARACAACTTTAACCTGCCGTCACGTGATCCACAGCAGGAGCACTCGGTTTGGAGGATTGGGTACCATAACATGATTCCCGCCAAATCGCACCAAATATTTTCCCCAAAAATACTACATTAAATATCTTTATACCATAAAAAAATTGTGATCAAAGCAAAATGATATTAATATTATGTTTTACTAAAAATAAATTTTTCAAAATTTGGAAAATAACTAGCCAAGAACATGATAATGTATTTATGGTCACCCTGTGTTGGGTCGCACGCGCGCGAATTTTCATTTGCTTGCTGCTCGCGGCTACGAACACAAGTTTTGCAAGCATTTGGAGGGCTTGCTTGATTGAAATAAATAGGAGATATTTTGGTTTTATTAAAGAAGGTAAGTGCTATCTTATGGCCTGTAGAATTAAGGCTGAGAGGGAGAATTAAAAGCTAAATTCTGTTAAAATGTGAGCCTTTGTAAACGTCGTAACGACGGCCTTTGTGGGCAAAATTGAAGCGAGAACTTTGCTTTCAATATTTTTATTGATGTAAAGATAACATTAGTTCAAACTTAGATACTATTAGCTTTCAATTTTGACTAGTCTTATGGTCCTGCTTTGTTTAATTTTGCTTCTATGAATAAACTAGTACTAGCAATTCACAATGTATGATTCAATAGCAATTTAAGCTTAAAGTTTTTCATTCTTATTTTAACACTCTAAATAACTTTCTTTCTATTCAACAACCGATGTAAACTACTGGGCGTCTGTTTTGATTTGATTTTTACAATATTTAGGTGAAATATTAACGCCGCCGTGCTCTTGTGACCAAGTCTGACCTTTTGTCACGCAACCTTTCTTTTCTAGGCGCCTCGTCTTCGCCGCCTCTATATAYTTTGTCGTGCTTTCTGGGATGCTCTACTCCCGTATTTCACGTTGAACTTGATGATTCGGGCACTAATGGTCTAGCTATTTTATTTTTCAAGAAATATTCACTTCTACTTCGCCTCCTCTCCTTTTTTAACAAATAAAAGTGCTTTAAGCCCCCCTAAAACCATTTAGCCCCCCCTTAAAATTTCAGCTAGATCCTTCCTTGAAAGAGAGGAGAGTCGATTAGGAGAGTCTATGAGAAMGAGACTAGTTATTATACATAGCAATACATTTGTATTGTGCGAGGAATACATACACTTTATTTGCAACAAAGTCTCAGTTTTCAAATTCTTTGTCTGCCAGTGATGGGGGTTTCCGGAACCCCTGGGACTCCCTCTGCACACTTCACTCTATGTGTCACTAATGTTTGGTTCTCAAGACTGTAACGTTTGTACCGTAGTGTACCGTCAGTAATCTTGATACTTAGTCTACGATTTTCACTCTATTCTCTAAGAAAACACGCTGAAAGAAGTTTCAATGCTAAGTCGCCACAGGAAACCCAAACAGTCTAAACAGGCTGCCAAGACTGTCTATTTTACTTTCATTGTTGATTTTGTGACCTTCGTATACCACGACCACGTGTCCCACAAAGGATAAGACTTCTGATTCAAATCGGAAGCTCCACAAATGTTGCTATACCACCAGGCGGATTTCTTWTTCTCYGCGCAATTCAGGTMGCTTCTAACATTTACGAGATTATTTCTATCATATGTAGAAAACATCGTTCCTTTTTGCCCCTGCAAAGCATCTCCAAAATTGTTGGTATCATAATTTGAATTGTTGTAATCCATAAGATAGTTTTTGTGCTCGGAAGAAACTTGGAAGTTCAAATACGAGGACTCACCATAGACTGACGTCGGATCACTAGCTTCAAGTTTAATTACGAGTGTTCTAGGAGTTTTGGTTATTCGATGGATAGCTTCGTTACCGAGCCAGAATTCGCTGCTTAGATTTCCAAATCCAGTTTTGTAMGAGTTCCAGTCTCTATAGAAACTCGTATTGAAGGGTGATGATCTTCTTTGTATTATGATCCATCCTACCCCAACGGTCGATGTCTGATCACAGTACACATGTATCATACCGTTGCTGTCAGGGTTGATGGGATAGATTCCATCAATTCTACCTCCTCTCGTGAAAATATCTTGACAATCTTTAGCTGAATGATATACGAAGAATGTCATGAAAAKGAAGCATTCTGTATGCATAATGTTGTGGAGGGCGAGAAAAATACTTGTGGAACTCCGAAAAAAAAGGGAATTTTGGGCGTGCACCTTGACAGAAATTCAGTGCAACCTCCATTAAATTCTCCCCCCCCCCCCAAAAAAAAAGTCCCCCATTTTAGCGTTCACACTCCGTTAAGCGGGCAAAGTTTTCCGAAACTCCGAAACTCGGCTGTCGACATATACATTTTATATTGATAACTTGACCTCTATTAAACGGTCAATCTCTATTGAACGGTCRTCTGCTTTTCTTTGGACTGACTGCTTAATTTAGGTTCAACTGTAGGTCCTAAAAATGAACATTATCGTAAGTTAAAATAACTGAGATCCGCACACTACCTCAAGTTCCAGAGTACACAACACTCCTTCAGTCTCTTCGTTTGTGAGACATAGAGGAATACCGGCGAAACTAAAGGAAACCCCTCGGAGCTACAATGGGACAAAACAAGTGACGGTCTGTCGTTTTAGCCATATCTCGGTCTCCCCGTTGCTGACATATGATTTCAGTTTGTTTTTTACCTTTTGAGTCGTCGCAGTAGATCCCAGTATAAAATGCGGCACATTTACAATTCGCGAATGATCCGTGTATTTCAACACAAGTTCCCCCGTTCTGGCACAGTCCTGGCAGACATCTCGAATTCTTGATAACAAATATATACATTTCATCAACAAAAATATCGATTTTGCTTACGTATGCACACTGGTGAAAAACGCACTGCGCATGTCCACAGATTTCCCGCTGAAATCTGCCTAATTTCCTTTGTAAAGCGATTTTTGTGAAAGTTTTTTTACAATTTATAAGCTCGTTCACCGATATATAAGATTCATATTTCCATCAATCATTGTTCATGATAGGTCCTTTTAGTATGTAGTTTCAATTTTTATCTTGTCATTTCTATTTTGAGAAAATGAGGTTTTTCGTAGTGTTTTCTGTGTTGTCGCTGTAAATCGCCAGGCGCTCTGTTTACAGATTTCAAGACGCGAGCGCCCACTGGCGGGAAAGATGTGGRCATGCGCAGTGCGTTTTTCACCAGTGTCCCAACCTTTACCATTTGTGGTTCCTCATAGTATGAAAATCCTGGCGTTTCAACGAGGTCCATAGTGGAACTTGAGCCCRCGTAATGGTCGCTTAATTGACATGTGTGTAACCCATCGTTGTCAGCGGTATCGCCATAGTTATATGATTGACAGTTAACATTGGCAATGCAAGCTTTGCTGCATTCAAAAGGGTCTGATACGTTAAGCTCTTCGATCTCGTAACCATCCAATCTTTGGTCTTGAATATTATGATGATACAATAATTTAGTATATTATTATCTCATATCAGTAAAAAAACATTACAACTTAAATCGAAACTTATCCCAACTCAAGATTATGAAWAAATCGTACATTTATTAACTTCCATCCTATATTACCAAGGGCGGATCCAGGAAGGGGCAAAAGGGGGCTGTAGCCCCTCCTTTGAGCATTAAAAGTAACCTTTATTATTTTCATTGTTGTTTATAACAAATAAAACCCATTTAGCGATGCTAGCTTATAGAGTGCTGAGCCATTTTATTTAAATACATAGATACGGCGAGCTACTTGCTGTTTCGTTGTTAGTACCATAAACTTTCATTGCGTTGAAGTCACTGCTACGTACATGATCAATTATCCATTTTTCTCAGCAACTTGTACTGCAGATTGCACATCTACTAGCGCAGTAAGTTGCTGGAGAATTTCACACTATATCAGGGTTGTTGAGAAAATGCACATGCGATCATAGAGTACATGACTGAAAAATTGCGAGAAGAGTTGCTGCATGAACTGGGGTGGGAGTTGATACGCTGTTCAATGACGTCGGGAAGTTGCTCCCGAGTTCAATAGCACCATAAATCATCATAAACAACATTTAAATAGCGCGAAAACTGAGTAAGTTCTTAGAACTTTACAGAGTCTGTAAAGTCACCATTATATTTGCTCTTACCTCGATAGGCCAGACCAAAATATCCGCTTTTGAAACTTGATGTTCGTGTCAGCGCAAGAACAAGACCAGGAAGAGCTATATACCAGTAAATATACAGGTATGGTTTGATCCACATTGTGCCTTAGCTGTAGAAAGAAAAGAAAAGCAACACTCTGTCGTACGGACACAGAATTAAAACTGTCCGTAATCCGTGCTTTTGTCAGTAATATATAGCTAAAAACTAAGTATAGCAGATGGAACTGATCATTTTTGTTAGCTGCGTTTTGTCCGGAAGCAAATTCACTTTTATTGCAACGTATCTTTGACTACACTATACTCAAATAGATTGTTATGCAGCATAGTGGCAGACACATGTTGTGTATGCTACTCATTTTTCTCGACAAAAGTACAACAGGAGTATAAAAAGCAGGAAAAAAATGTTTATACTCATAAATAAAAAAATTACGTCGTCCAAAAAGGGCGAGGGGGGCGGGGGAGATGCGTCGGCACCCAAATCCCCTTCCCTGGATCCGCCCCTGATAATAAGATGACATGCATCTACCTCTGTCGCGCGATTACCTTTGCAAAATATATTGATGTCGACCAAATTAAAATAAMTGTATTAGAAAGAAATAGCAAGCTTCCGCTTGGATTTCAAATTACTCAATATCTCTCCGTGAACTCCGTGAAGTAGAGGAAGTCTAACATTTGTGCCGCAAGCAATTTGCCGAACAATATACTTTCAGACGTTACGTATTGAGAGATTAAGGGTATGTGATACCATCTAGAGGCCGACACTGCGGAGAAAATATTGATACTTAACCAATAATCCACGCAATTAAAATTAAGTCATATATGAGCTGATTACCAAGTGTCTATCTGGCATGATATACAATGAGATAATTGCATTGAGAACCAATGGTTCATAGCGATTTTAAAAGGATAAAGTATAATCTAATGATCTCAGTCTAGGTGCCATTTTGTGTTTCTTTACCGATATAAGTAAATATCGTTTTAGTCATTTTATAAGGTTCTAATGTAAAGATGTCAGTATAGTATTCATTGGGTTTTTCTTATCTATTTGAGTTCTGTTTTTTTTTCATAAGGCTATAATCAAAAGTTGTCAGTCCAGTCGGCATTTTGTTTTTCTRTTCCGATAAGAGTTAATATCCTGTAGTAGAAAATCATTTTTTTGTGATGACGACTTTGCCTTAATAAAAAATAAAATGCGCTCAGTACTCTGAATTAGAATTTCTTTGAAATAGAAAATAAGAAATAGAATTTTGAAATAAGAGAATTCAGTTTTTTTTACAATTGTGTCCAGTTGCACACTACTGTTTTAGCTATCGTTTTTTATAAAAGGGAATTTGGCGCGGGTGATTGTGTATAAAAAGAAAAAAAAAAAAAAAAAAAGAAACAAGGAAAACTCAAGTTTAGTAATCAACAAATAATGTTACATTCTTACTTCACTATTTTTTTGTAGCAATCTAACAGCATTCTTGAGCTGTTAGTGAACATTTCAGGGCTTTCGACTGTTTTAAATGTCAACGGATATTTACCTTCTTCTGATGTAAGTTCCCTGATGTTCCTCCAAAGTAGAGTTCATATCATTTGGCTGGAATATGTGCCATGCATACTATCAGACTGCAAGGGACGCGAAATTTTCCATAAACGAATGAAGAAATTTATGGAGAAATAAGTTTTAGTGTGGTGTCGTGTGGTAACCTTTCGGTTTGTAGAGTAACAGCGTTTAACGAAATACGAGCGGTTGTCGATGAGGGTGAAATGCGAAGCTTTTATTTACTTGTATTMTTTTCGCACTACACATTGCTTCCTTTTAATTATCACATCAGCTTTTAGAAAAGAGGATGTTTCAGCTGCCCGCAACCCAGACCTGTCACATTTTAATTTTAAAAGGTACATTTTATATGCATACAATCAATTTTTTTGTCATTCTATTTCCTTACTTTTGTTAATTGGAAGGTTTGTGGAACATCGGAACAGTAAATATTTAGTCTTGTTAGATTAGAGTGGGTCTTTGGTTTCTTGATGTTTTCATTGAAGTTTTCTTTTGAYTTGATATGTTTAAAACTTCATRGATGAGCTAGATGGAATTGTTTTAGAGTTTYGATGTACGCAAAAGAACRAAAAGATTYTTATGTARCWATAAGMCTTAATGAATGGCGGTSCATGCCGAATACAGATGCCTCTTTCTGCCAATTAAAAAAGATACAACAAAAACAAAAGAAATCAACATCATCATCATCATCATCATCATCATTATCATCATCAACAACAACAATAACAAAGAACTAGCAACATTACCTTAACAAATGGAACTACAATCTTGGACAATAATAGTTGACAATAGTTCATTTGTATACGGCAAATATAATGTATGGCGTGTGTTTCTAGTTATAATATCACGTGATACTGTAGAATTGCTTGTCCWCCACATGGAGCTCGAAGTACCTTTCTTGCATGTTTAAAAATTTGTAAAATAATCGGGATTTTATTAAAATCGTGTCATTTTTTCTACAAAGTTCTAAGAAACCTCCCTAATTTTAGAAGGAATTGTCATTTTTTAGGGGTTAGGTGTACTTTAACTCTTAACTGTCTTGTATTGACAGACTGTCTGGTGATGCGGTCGCCATCTTTGATTTTACTCTTTTTTTATTTGTAAGACAGAATGAATGCCTGGTGGTCAATTAATGGATAATTGCATAGCTCTAAGGCAGTTATGCTTCAATATTGCCCTCTCAATTGTTATACATATCTACTATCCAAAAGAGCCTCAAAACGTCCAAAGAAAGTTTGTACTTTGGCTTCTGGGCAATTCTTTGATTCAATATGACAGACCAATAGTTCGTTCCACTGATGACGTCATAAGGAGAAAGACCCATTGGCCTGAAGTTCGGATATAAGTTCCTTACTGTTATAAGGCACTGGTGGTGATTGCTCCAGCGTTAGGGATTTCCTGTGGTAAATGACGGGCGTGAATCCTTGGCGCCCTTCCACAGCATAAAATCTTTTTGACTCCATTATAAAACTGTTGACTTTGAATTGCATATACAAATGGATTAATAGTACTATTGATAAGAACTAATATCTCAGTTATRGAATATCCATAGGACTCTAGACCATTGCTAGAATAATAATACATCAAGACATTAACAATAAGATTCGGCATCCAACATAAAACGTAAAGCACGGCCAGAAAWATCAGCATTTTTGTAACGCGTTTTTTCGATTTAAGTCTAGCAGTTGACTCGGATGATAATACCGTACTMGGCTKCCATAGCCTTCTMACRATAAGCCARTATAGAATGGTCATCGTGACTGTGGGAATAACCCCGATGAAAACTAGCCAYGCGAAGTTGTAGGCGATTGCGAGRTCCACGTTTGGCCATTTGCTGATACAGACGTACCCAGTCTCCTTGTTRTCGTTGTTATGAGCACGGACAAGTATTAGGGGTATGTTAAAGGAGAACGCCACAATCCAACAAATGGATAAGATCCAGGAAAGCGCGTTTGTTGAGACTGTGCCTCTGTTTCTTAGAGGATGAACTATTGCGTAATATCTTTCGAAAGCGACGGCCACTAGTGTGAACACTGATGCCACTGACCCCACCCATGTCAGGAGCTTTCCTGTGAATGRARGATTGATGCTTKGTCAACTTTGTGTAAATATTCTTACACGATAATTCGACAATAGCTCTTTGCGTTCTTTAGTTTATTTGTTACAGGCGCATTTGATCATATCTACACGAGAATTTGCGCCATATCATTAATTAATTAATTAGTTATTATGATGATGATGATAATAATAATAATAATAATAATAATAATAATAATTATTATTATTATTATTATTATTATTATTATTATTATTATTATTATTATTATTATTATTATTATTATTAACAACAATAATAATAATACAATAGTACAATAAAAAAGTAGCAGGTGTTGTATGAATCAATTCAAGGCTATCTCGCGGCAAATCGTGTCAAAATATAAGAGATTTAATTGGCATTGAAAAAATTGAGAAATTGATAATGTCAAAGTGATGTTAAGTTGACATTTTCTAAACACAATAACACTCTAAGATAAACAATAATATACTTAATATAGCCACAGCAAATAACAATCAATGAATACAAACACAGGAGTATCCATCGCTCAGCTGAATTTTCGTATTGCTATTGTTGTTCCAATATGAAAAAAAAAACACTTAAATAGAAGATAACAAAACCTAGACAAAAAAAGAAAAGAGAGAGAGAGAGAAAAAAAAAACACAAGAAAAAACCCCGACCCTATAGTCAATAAATGTAGCCGATTTTAAGGTGAAAAAAACCAAATTGATTATCGAGTCAAAATTGTGCACAAAAAAAAAATCAAAATTCATGTGAAAGTAGTTAGTTGTTTCCCGATTCAATGGTGTAAAACAACGTTAAACAACAATTGTCATTCCAACCTAAGATTTAATTGCAGAAAACCTATCGAATGTTTTCTTATATTTTTCAATGATCCATTCTTATTTCATGGCCTTTTCTATTAAAATTGTTTTTTTTTTCATTTCTTTAGCAAAATGCGGCCGCAAAATTATTTAGTTACATCTTCCAATATTTCTCATCTTAGCGTATGAAAATCAGCAGAAAGTTTCAATAAATTACCTGTTAAGAACTTGCAAAGATAGTCACCGGTCTCACCAGCCGTGTGCTGTACCCCGTACCAGAACAGTAGATCCGTAGAGGTGAACAAAGCCACCAAAATGTCCGCCACAGCAAGATTAACGAGGAGAAAGTTTAGAGGTGTTCTCAATTGTTTTGTTGTTATTACCACCAAACACACAAGCACATTCCCTATCAAGTTTGTCGGAAGTATTATTGCCGTCTGAATAGAATAAAGAAATTTGTAAGTCGACTCGCTCCCCATTGTTCTCGTAGGCGGTGTTTTACTGCCAGTTAAGATGGCTTGAAGTGCTTACCCGCCTAGCACAAACAGTCGTGTCAGAATAGAATCGTTTTTCTCGCGCCTGTAATGCAATCTTGATACGTTAAAATCTTGAACTGTTTTTTTTGTAGGAAGTTGTTGAAGTTTATTTGACAATGCAGTTTTAAGAATGGCGTGCTGTATTTCAAACTCTTGTCCTTCGGTAAACTAAAGAATGTTCTTTAATGCTTCGTACGTAATCTTATTTTATTCTAGAATTTCTTGAATTCTGGGTTCTTTTTCTGTGCTATCGGCCAAATGATTTCCTGTTTATTGAAGAACGCACTTAAAATTCTTGAATTTTAGTTCCTTTTTCTGCGTTATTTTATCTTTTGTATTACCTTTTCCAAAAAATTGTGTTTAAGCTGTTTTTTTTTTTTCCAGAGCCTCAAGCACGAGGATGCATACAAATCCACTTTCTGTGATGTTATTTTCTGTGTTATTTTGTCTTTGTTTGAAGTTTTGACTTGAATTTTGACGTCTTCTCTATACTACAAGCATTCTGCACAGCTATTTGAGTAATACAATCTCATTCAGTTGGGGTTGTGAATCGTATTCAGTTTTTATAAAGGAGGAAAGCTCCTTGTGGTGTCTTCTGTAGTCCATCAAATCCAGTAGTGAAACTTCGCGGTAAGATCAGCCTCCCCACTTTACCCAAACGTATTATACAAATTATGTCTTCAATGTTGACTATCGCTGATTTGTAGATTTTAATTTCCTCACATGGGAAGTTCCTAATTTGATATACAAAACATAGAATAACGGTTTTGTAAATACGACGGTGACCAAAAAGAGGTGTAGATTCACTCTCTTGATTGWGTATCGGTATCGTGTGGCGAAGAAAAGGAAAACAGTTTACATTTTTATTTCGAGATATACTATGTAAACCAGTAAAGTGTTATGGATGTTGTTTGTTTGCTAGTAAGACTTGAGTTTTTTCAGCTGCTTTGATAGTTATGCAAATCTTTCCTCAAAAGGATGGCTGCACTACATGCTCGAAAGCAAAGTTACTATTGACTTTTACTATAGAAGTTTGTGCGTAATCTTCTTTAACATATATATGATTTTGCGCACTGAGTAGAAATAAGAAACGTTTTCCATGAAAAAGTAATAACTAAATCTTATACAAGAAGAAAAAGAAGAAGAAGAAGGAAAATAACAAAACGAAATAAAACAAAAAGAAAAAGAAAAGCAAACGAACGTTTTCAGTGTTTTACATGTAAAAGATGTTACGGTGGGCTAATATTCAATAAGCAAACAGATTATAAGCGGTGTTTTTTGAGCACGAATTTGGATGAATTCCAACATCCATCATAAGTTCTAATGAATCGCTATTTACTAMACGTGTTCAGAAAGTGAATGGCCAAAAATGAATCCATAGATGGAAAATGAAGTTAACTAACGAATGGATATAGAATAATGAATGATTTTACTCAAGAACTAATGAAATATGAGTGATTGAATAGACGCAAGTGAACGAAAATTGAATGCATAGATAAAAAATGGGTTAACACATGAAAAAAGTGAATAAATGAGTAAATGAATAATTGAATAATGAAGTATGAACAATTGAATAGACAAATAGATTATGAATAGATGATACGAATGAATTATAAATGGCAGACAAAATAATGTGCGAATGGATAGGAATTCGAGGCACGGAAGTATATAAATAACGTTAAATGGTGGGAACTAGCGGTAAATACTAGTGTGAGCTGTGTCGGTGTTTCTAAAGAAACAGTTGTGTAAAAAGATAAATTTAACACCTTAAAAAAGTATGTGAAATAACTTACTGACGTTTGGGAGCTAAATCCTCTTTACTCCGACGAAGGATTAACGTCCGAAACGTCAGTAAGTTATTTCACATACTTTTTTACGGTCAGTGTTAAATTTTTCTTTTTACACAACTTATGAATAACGTAGAGTGAATTGATGTAAAAATGTTGTAATGAAATGATACGATATCATTGGTACGTACCTCTATCAAGCAGCCACATTGGAACTTTCCAAATGATCAGTTCAATTCAGTTTCGTTTTTCCGTAAGAAAAGGTCGACCAATGAATAGAAGTTGAATAGAGCAATTGAGACTTCATTGTGGTCTTTTAATTGAGGATGTAACTAGATATTTTAATGTGCATAAGATAGTTCACGCGAACGTCAATACGATAATCCTATATTTTCGCCCAAGGGCCTTGACAATGACTGATTTCAAAAACAACGTTAAAACTTCATCCAAGATAGCGGGAAATGGCCATTTGTTTAATTGCCGTTACGAATTTTCTGATGAATKTTTAACKAGCGATTTTCTTTATATTAATTATCTTGAGTTTTTCTATAAGAATGTTGGCGCCTGAAATGATTTTATTGGGTGTGACATGTATGAATACTGAAGATTATGTAGATCTATCTATAGAGCCTGTTTGCTTACGCGGAACTTAAAAGGACTTCATTAGTACCTTGGGCAAACTTAAATCAGTCCTTAATYATCTCAATAATAATAAAATACACAGCTTCAAAAGGTTTTTAGAGGTTGATAAGATGCTTCGTTCGTGCAGGTGTCCATGAATTTCGGGGTGGGGTGGGGGGTGGGGGGATGGGTGGAGAGAACTCCAAAAGTAAATGTTYGGGTATACTTGTCGGAATTTGCAAAAATACCCCTTAGAAAGATGCCAAAAGCTTTACAAATAGGGTGTGGCTTTTCTCATCGTGATCTCTAAAGGATAACAGGACCAAGAAAGACAAAAAATATGTGAACTAATTAATGGGCCCATACCATTTATTAGSACGGTTATTTCACGATCATAAAACTACTTTATTGACAGCCTGAAAGCATTAGAAAGTATTCATTTCCTAAAAGTCGAATGGAATGACCTTATTACCACTTCCTTTAGTCTTTTCACCTATAAAAAAAATCGCAATGAACATTTCCCTCCAGAGGCTACATCAAGGTACAAATATTCCTAGTCGATGCGCTAATCAAATTCCATTGAGCATTTTTTTAAAGCTATGGAAATCTTGCTCAAGTGCTTCTACCTTGTCACCTACGTACAATATTAAATGCGAATGCAATATTTTAACTATGAGTCCTTAACAGGAATAGTTCAGGAATAGTTGAGGTGCTTAGGAATGTTCTCTATACCATAAAAAATGTGCCAACGTATGGAGAGAATCATAAGAATAGGTSTGCTCATCAAAATCGGGGCAAAAACGGCCGAAGATATTCCAAAATAAAAGTAGAAATCGATGCATGATGTCTTGTCAACAGAGTATTTGCCGTGGTATGTCWGACATCACTCTTATTTTCTKCCCCCAAAAGTTATTTTTGATTCATAATCAACCTGTCTGAAAATAAAACTCATGACGTTTGGCGTTTTTTAGTGTTGAAATTTGACTGTTGTCATTCCCATAATAACACACTCATTTGCATCAGACAGAAGGAAATTGCTAGTAAGCTGTCTGTCTGTATTTGTTTAGAAAAGCTGAGATTGTTCAGCTTAAAGTTTGTCTGCCAAATGACACTGTCTGCCTTCAGTGTTTAAGAATAAGATGTCAAAAGAATTTCTGAACGCAAAATAGACAGATAGTTAAATAAGACTTATAAAGTACGAACATTTTGTTTATAATACATTTKTACAAAAGGCGCGTTTCAGCTTCAATTCGTCAGCCATCTTGTTGCCTGCGATACATCTTTCCAGCGGAGTTGCCCTGAAGACCTTAACTTCTAAACCTGAAAGTAMGCGAGTTGTCAATCCTCTTCTAATTTAACTCTGATTTTTGAACTCCATTTCAGTTAAAAATGACAATGATTCGTACAAAATAGTAGAAAAAGACAGTAACAGTGATGCTTTGAGAATGAGTATTAACCAATACCATGATGCATTGCGTGCATAGTKTGCCGAGCGAGTGAGTATCGAAAGCTCCAGARAGACTTAAAAAGATTCAAAAACTGAGTTGTTTACATGATGTATTGACATTGGAAACAGTTCAGCTCTGCTTTTGTGACCTCGAATGAAAATGAGCCAAAACAATTTACTGTCGACTACACTTTAGTTGTTTCCCGAAATACTGAGTCATACTTATAATTTTTTGACCCAAWTCGTAGGCTWAGAAATTCCATTAAACGGCTGAAATCTTAACCTAGGCAAACCAAAGGATTCAAAGAAAAAATAGAGTGAGACTCTATATCAAGTGAATAAGCTTAAAGTGTTATTTAAGAAAAATATCTGCGAACAATAGGTAATCAGGTAATGATTCATGCATGATGGCTGGTCATTAAGTAATTGACATGCTGGACCGAACTCCTTTTGTCCTCTGTACTCAAAGTCTTAACTAGAACAAATAAAACACGTAGCTGCTAAAATCTAAAAAAACCAGTAATTGCTCTATATAAAAGATGAGTTCCTTAAAGGATTAGTCGATTCTAAATACAACTTATCTTGACAATAAAACAATTTGCTAGTTTGGTCGATTTCATGTTCGTTTACGATCGTTGTGAACGCGTTCTCTCATAAAATGATTGTCATGTTTTTTTTGTGTGTTTATTTTTCAACTGACAAGCCATAGACAAGCAGCACGTTCAACCATAGTTTTCTTCATTTGAAGAAAGAGTCGTCTATACAATACTTCTAATTAGGTTTCGTTTTCTTTGCAGTTTCCAACTTTTATTTCTAAAACGATTTTCCAGTTGCAAAAGGAAGGAAAAAGGAAAAATAAACACAAAACAACAAAAACAAGAAACGGCGACATCTTGTCAGCATTAATTACATTTACAGTCTTTTTAAAAAAAATCTAACTTAATTTTCACCAAGAATTTTGCTTTAAAAAAATCGATTTTTGATACGTTGCAGCATATTACGTGATCTCACAAGTTTTCAGATTTTCATTTTATTTACAAGAAAGTTTATTTATTATATCAGTATTTTCGTTTTTACTCTCACTAATTTGGAACGAGATAATACGATTTATGCTTATTGTCAAAAGACTTTATCTTTTATCCATGTTCTACTTCAACTGATAAACATTAGAACTGTTCAAGAAACCCCAGCGGTTTATCAGGAAGTTCATACGATAAATATATTATTTCATTAGTTTTTACATTTGTAAACAATCCAACTAATTCATTTAACAGTCCCAATAATAAGCTCATTTCATTTTTATAGAGGAAAGACACTAAAATCGTGAAAGATAATATAAGATAGTCAGGATGATTGCTAGTCAAAAATATTTATTTTCTTGTCAGAATTTTTTGTTATTTTATCTTTTGTGTACATGGTTGGTAAGTGGCTCCTAGGTAATTATGTTTTGTTTTGTGTGATCTAAACAAAAGATAAAGCTCTGCTACCTAGGGGCGCCTCATGCAAACAACTTACTATAATATCTATCATAACAGATTGTTGTGATTGACGTGAACTAACGTCACGTGATGCCCCAAGGTAGTAGATCCAACTCTTCTGTTTTCAGATTCAGTAAAATAGAACCCTACCTGATCGATTCATCCTCTAAATAAATAACAGTCAAACTATAATAACTACTGGACTAAAACAAAGGAATACAATAGAGATAGTGACACGTATGTTATTATAGCCTTATAAAAGGTTTAGAGTGAAGGCATTGAACCCGTGAAATAAAAGTAAATACTTAAACTGTAATAGTCAAATAGACACAAAAGAAAACAATGGAATTATCAAGTAATAACATGTAATAGTGAAATATGTATTTCACGGGTTCATTGACTTCACTCTAATGTCGTCCCTCCATGCACCC